CCTTCCAGCCCTAATGTCTATGAAATCTATGAAATTTTTTCACCCATTCCATATGGCTTTCATTATACTCTTTCCCTGTATCACTGTCTTCTGTTGTCTTCTATTCACCTGCTCCTACTTCTGGCTCCCTTTCTCTTATGTCCTAACTGCCACAAGAAAGGATTTAAACAAAGGTATGTTTATTTTCCCAATGACTCCTTTATATTTACCACATTCATGAGGTAAAGCATATGCATTCCCCAAAGTGGAAGCAACTCATCCAGTGATTCAGCAATTCAACCAGTATCAACCCCAAGTTTCAACTCTGAATATCCCAACCTGCAGGGTTAGAGGAGTACTGATTTCAAAGCCTCACAAGATGGACAGACATTCATGAACCACCGCCCCCCCCCAAGACACGCACACATTTTTCACTTTTCCAAAGGGTTTCATGCATGATTTAGCTTCCATGAACTCCCAAATTACTGACCACAGTAAGACAACTATGAAACAACAAAATCCAAGGTTACTAAAATGAGGAAGACCCCCTAAGTCTTCACGCAGGAACACATATATGTCACATTTTTAAAAGATCCAGTTATCCAAACAAAACACGTTCAAACATTTTTCCTACGGATGTGAAGTGTTTCTCTTCTTGCTATTCAAAGACGACACAACACGTTTAATAAAATAGACAACTGGTTGAAATGAACCATGAAAAGCTTGAAAACCAAATGGCAAATTATCCTGAGAAAACTGTGCGACTGCAATTAAACAACAATTTAAGAGAAATTAGACATACTTTCTTCCTGCAGTCGAGCCATGATCTGAACATCAGTGAGGTCCTGTAGTTTGTATCCCATGGAGATAGAATCATCCTCAAGTTCCGAAGTGCTCAGTTCACTGTCTATTGATGACTGAGGGCTGAGAGGGGAACTTCTGGAAGTATAACCTACACAAAAGAACACATTCATTTATAGCTAAGTGTCACAAAGTGCTGGCATCCAAATTAATTTTATTTGCTCATAGAAAGTCAATGGAAAAAGACTCCTATTAACATCTCGCTTATTGATTTCATGCTTGTGAAACATGGAAGACATTCTAGAATACAAATCCCTCTGTTTGATAGTGAAAAAGGTATACCACAAATAAAGAACAATTTACTCAGCTCAATTTTGATTACTTGATCCAGCCTTTATTCTAAAACACCTCAAACATTTGAGATGCTCTTGGCTGAGCAGGGGGTCTCCTCTAGGAAACGAGAGCATCAATGTGTCACGAACTTCACCCACTCTCCTACGTGCACGGTTTCTGAGTTATTTTCAAATACCTATTTATTACAGTTTTTTAAAAACTATTTATAATTATAGTTGGACCAATTGGTAATAACAATCCAGGCCCCAGTATGCTAGTCATTGTACAAACATATAAGATAGAAAGTCCTCCCCACATAGGTCTTACAATAGAAAAGGAAACTGGATTCTATTCCTTTGGGACTAGTTACATGAGTAATTAAGTAAACTGGTTCAGTCCACCAAGTGCAGCCTAATGAAGGTACTGGGACTGCATAGATGAAACTGAGGGTCTCTGTGCCAGAATCTATGGCTGCTTGTAGAAGAAGCAGTGCATTACTTCGACCTGGCTTTGCAGCATCTGTATAGATCAGACCCTGCAGCGAGACCTTTTGGTGCTTTAATTTAAAGCTGATTCAATCAGCTACTAAATAAAAGCACCCAAAAAGCCCCATGAAAGCATTCTATCTATACAGACTTTGGGAAAGCCAGGTCCAGTTAACATGCTGCTGCTTCTGGGCATCCACTGGGCTCAGCATGGGAATGTCCTAAGTTTAGTGCCATTTAACATTTTTTTTTTTTTGTTAACCTCCGCAAGCAGCCTTTATTACCAGTGGCAACATGAGAGAGAGTGTGGAGAACTTTAATTCAAGCCCAAGCGAGCTTCAAGGGTTAACAGGAAAAAGGTACAAACATTATTTTTTCTATAAGCTGAGTATAGTTGAAATGGAGGTCTTAAAACAAAATACACAAACCCATCCCACCAGTGTTACTTTTACTGACATTTTCTTGATCCAGCCACACATACAGTACATTCAACCACTATCAGTTTATTGTGCAGCATAAGAAATATTGAGCACAATTTATCTTCACAGCAGTTATGAAAACATTCAAATGAACATGCATCATATTGCAACATTTCCATACTTGAAGACTTGACAGGAATTTTTCTTTGTCCAGTCTCCAAACTAAATTGTGGCTTCCTTCAATAAGCTGGCAGCAAAGCTCACAAATTGTTTATTTCAAAAGCAATTAAATTACATGATTTATAATTCTGAAAAGAAAAAACAAATCAAATCAACTATTTTGTCAGGATTAAGATCAAAGTGTTGATGAACTATTCCAGTTTCAGGAAAGTCTCATAAATAAAACTAAAAAACAGAATTTTCAACAGCCAGCGGAGACTATACCTTACACCACATTACACATATTTAGAACTGAATTGTTGGTTGCTGAAACTTGCCTACTTTAGTAATCATGAGACATTCCTGAAACTAAAATAGGTTTTCAATACTTTGGTCTCTTTGCTGAAAACACATGTTAACACTGCAAAGAGGCCAGGGTTTCTGTGGGCAATATCTTTATCCCAATCATGTACCTGGTCCAGTAAGACATAGATCAGTGGTTCTCAATCTTTTTAGACTCAAGGCTCCCCTTGTCAGACTCAAAGCACTCCTCAGAAAATGCCAGCTCTTAGTTTCCATTTGTTTTTTGTTTACAGAAAAATAACACTGCAATTTTTCTCTTGCAAAGAACTCAGAAAGATCACAAGTCATTAAAACTATGGACCTTTATTTGAAATCACTCTATTTATCTTGTGAATCATGCCTGCACACCTAACACTGATAATACTGAGTGACACCCTTGAAAAGATCTCAAGAATCACTGACTTAAGACAAACTTGAAATAGATGCATTTTTCTGATCCACTAAAAAATATCACTCACAAAAATCATTGCCTGGAACATCATGACTACAACATCCCTCCAACATTACTTTAACACTGCAAAGTTATGCATGAGTGTTTCTGGGGTTGAAGTCTCAGTTTAATTTTGCCTTTGAATAATATAAATATATGTTCATATTATTTTTCCAAATTTCTAGAATCTTCTAGCTCAGGTTTAGGTTCACAAATCATTTAAATCTGTTCTGCAAGGTCAGGGGAGTTAACAGATGCCACTTTGAATACATATCCAGAAAAAGTGGCTGCCATTCTTTGCTCTCTAAGCTAGTCAGATGTGATTCTATGTAAAAGCCAGAGTATGAAACCATGTTTTAAATGCCTTGTGTTTCCATTTATTGTAAAAGAACTTCCATTTTCCATCTCAGTGTGAGAAGGTGCAAGCTTCTCAGCACTAGGTAGGTCTTGATTTTTGGAAACAAAGTGCCCGGACAGATCAGCATGCCACTTTTGGTGCTACTGCCCCTGGACTACAGCTGTCACCTATCAAAGGGAAAGGAAATGATCTCCTCCACCTCCACTGTATTTAAGCACAGAATGGAGAAGCAAATCCAACACTGTGCTAAAAAAATGCAATACAAGCCTTCTGCCACCTGGTCACCACTAGAACTAAAAATTATACTTCCCCAAGCTTCATATTCTACCTTCACTTGTTTAGCGCATCTTACAAAGGAGTAACAAGTGAGGACAAATCATTGTGTCATGTAAGGCTTCTCCAGTTAAAATAAGACTATGTATAAAAGCCAATTCACTATAATACATTATGTAGAATAGGGGATAATCCTCCACTTAGTAAGTCCTATAGCTAAAATTCTTGACATTTTTAACTAACAGTTAGGCATTTAGTATATCGCTGTTAAACAACAAAGGAATTAGATTTAGTAAAGCAGTTTTATAAGCAACAAGTTAAAAAAAAAGCATTACCTGTCCTTTCAGGTGTTAGTATTGCTTTATTCGAGGTTTTAGAGAAGTTGGGACTATTAAAGCCATTGCTATATGGGGACAGTCTTGCAACAGGACTATAAGGGAAAGCCAAGGAGACAGGCGTAGAGAAGAGATTCCGCCATCGGCTAGCTGTTACAGATGCAAAGAAAAAAAATTAAACGTTTAAGGTTATAAAGGGAATATTACCTTATCAAGATAAAATAATAAAATCATAATCTGTTCACTATAACAGTCCATGTCAAGAAGAAAATGGCCCAAAGTTCAATAGCAAAACAGAAGAATTTTTACTTTTTTTTGTGGATAAATGAGAGAACAAGCCACTTATTTAATGTATTATTTACAATAACATTGCAAAGCATTTGGTCTACTCAGCAATATAATAGGCAAGAGTAAGCTAACTGAAGCTCCAGCACCACGTGGCTTCCAGCTGCATCACCAGACCAGGGAGCACAGGGCTGCAGCAGTACCCCAGAGTGCACCAGTACCCCGGAGTGTGTGTGTATGTGTCTGTGTAGGGAGGGGCAGAGTGTGTGCGTATGTTTGTACAGTGAGTCCCGCACACACCCCCCACCATACACATGCACCCACACACCCCTTTGCACTACCATACACAGACCACCACACCCACACAGCACCCCACATATGCACACCCCCCCACATGCTCCCTCATCCCACACTCCCACAGACACACCCACATACCCCCACAAACCTATACCCACCCCTCCATGCCCCCCACAACATACAAGAGTAAAACTTCATTTCAAACTATTATGCAATCACCTCTAGGTATACTACACAAACGCATGTAAATCAGGACAAAAATATTTTTTGAAATCAAATTAATGAATGTTGTAAATGTTCGATTTTTAGAATATAATTTGGCATTTTTCTGGTTCCAAGATGGCAAAATCCCTTGCTGAAAGGAGTACTTCCAGGGACAAAGGGAGGGACTTCTGGTGGCAAAGATCAGGAGTTATGGGACAGAACTTCCAGTCACGGGAGGTGACCAGGAGCGCGGCACCTGTCAAGGGCCGGGGCTACCCATGTGGCCCTCGACAGCTTGCCAAAACTCAGTAAGCAGCCCTCTGCCTAAAATAATTGCCCGCCCAAGGTTTCTAACAGATGGGTACGGATAGATTTAATAAACTGCTATCCAATGGTATGCAAAACTATTGGTTCAGAGATGATACCTTTTATTTGACCAACTAAAAAAAAAATCACAAAAAAATTATCTTTCTTTGCAAGCTTTCAGGTGCCCTTCTTCAGGCTAAGGGAAAATTAAAGCTTGCAAAGACAGATAATACCCAAACCAAAAATTGGGGATTTTTTTTTTTTAGTCAGAGAAAACCAGGATCCGTGCTGATCATTACATTTCAGTTTAGAGTAGCAGGAAGAAAAATTTCCTTCTCTTTAGCACAACCAATGTGAGGGATTTACATAGGTAAATGGGAAGTGTACTAAATTGTGAGGATTTTTAGTTCCCCTGCTGAGCTCTTCAGGTGCAAGCAGCTCCTCACCTGTTCAGAAAAAAACTCCCACCCATGGTTTCCCAATCCCTTTAAAGGGTGTACAAATCAACCTTTTCTACCGTGCATTCAGACCAACACCACATTCAGACCAACACCAAACTTCTCCCTTTGAAGCTACTGTGTTGCAGAAAATATGTAGCACTGCTGAGAGAACAAAGGAAGCGCTCATTACCATTAGTGGAACAAAGCAATCTGCAATGGAAGTGAAGAATCTGCAATGCCCTAGAATCCCTCATGGTGTGACAAAAATTAGACTAAGGAATGAGGGCATAATCATGCAAAATAAAATCTGCTTGGCCAAGGAAATAGTGTGATCCCCTCCCTTTCCCAAGACAACACAATTCCTCAACCTTTCAAAAGAAAAAGAAAATTAAAGCTCTGAGGTCTTAACAAAGATGCACTGGCACAATATCTAGCCACACTGTCTACAACTCATCAATCCTATTACTCTTTAGCATTAAACACACCCAGTTTCATTCCACAGGAGTTCAACTACACAGACTGTCTTAAAGAGAACGCTCAGTATAACTGTACCTGTAATTTTTAAACTTTTTATTAACACTCAGTACCTGTAGTTAAAGATCACCATTCAATAACAACGGATTACACTGACAGGATCACAAAGAACTATTCTCTCATCCAACACAAGCTGTTTTGTAACAGTTTGAACACTTGCCAGGCCAATTAGCTGCCTGCATGTTCTCACCCACAGATGTGGTCAACAATACAGCACAAATAAACAGCATTCATCACTTTGTACAATAACGACTGTGAACAGCCCCACCAAGCACAAACCTACAGTTATTGTGGTTATGACAGTAAGAACCCACACTAAGAAACACAATTAGTATTTATGGCAAACAAGAAGATTTCAAATTACTTTTTTCAGTTTGTGCTTTCAAGAAAAGACAGAAGTGATAAAAATATACACATATACGTATAGACTCATCAAAAAACCTGAACAGGACAAAAAGGAAACAAAAGTGGCTCGTTTTGGATGTTTTGACCAGAGTATCTAACTTTACTGAATTTAAATTTCATTACTTAGCTCAGCTTTTTAGATTCAAATTTACAGGAAGTATTTGTTTATTTATTAGATTTACATCCTGCGCTATCCAAAAGACTCAGTTCATTTGGACTCCATTTTAATAAAACAAAATAAAGTCTTGTGATGCTCATTTTTATCTTAAATCAGTCACTCCTGCAATAGTGACTAATTTTGAGGCTCACGTTTCATTTAAGAAATAAAATAAAATAAAGCAAGTTTCTAAAAACAGAACTTGTAGAAAAAAGTTTCCAAACTAGTCTGACATGTACCCTACAGATTGTAAAGATGGACCCAAGACTAACAGAGCATTAAGAACAAATATGTAGGAGTGGGAAATGAAGAATCTTGAAGTAAAGAAGCTTCTGAGAGCTGCTCTCTTTAGTAAGGGAAAAAGGTTGCAGCACAGCAAGAATGCAAGCTCTCGATCACATGGAGTTGTCTACATTGCAGAAAGAGATTAAAGAAATTGAAGTTCTGTACTATAGTTTATCACAGATGGCCTCCAACAAATAAATTCAAATCAGATTTAGACCTCTGGCTGCAGACAGAAGTTATCACTTAAATCAGTTTGTGCGTCAGAAACTGATTTAAACCTGTAATGGAACAGAAGGTCAGTGCACATAAACTAGTTTCAAAATGGTCAAAACCAGTTTGACATAAACCCAGTTGAATGTAGTATCAGGCTTAACTGATCTGGCTCAAGCAGGTTTATGCAATGTCTGTCCCAGACCAGGTTTAACTTAAACCAGACTCCTCCAGCATCCTGGCATGCTCTTTGGGCTGGGTTCTCTACTCCAGCCCAGGCAAGCTGGTCCTGCTCCTCTGCTCCGCAGCTGGAACAGGGACAGGCTAGGGCAGGCAGGGTCTGGCCAGAGAGGGGTTTAATTCCCCCCTCTCTATCCCACCAGCAGAGACCCAAGCCAGGTCTGCCAGACACTCCCCCCTTGCTGCCGCAGCAGCGGAACACCATGGTCCCTGAGGCAAAGGCGAGCAGGGAGGAGAGTTAGTCTTCCCTCTGCCCCATTGGCAGCTGGGTCTTCCCATCATCACTGCTGCACTTGGAACAAGGCCCCTGCTGTCCCCTCCACCAGATGCTGGAGGCAGGGGGAATAACCCCTGTCCCTACCCCCCACCCCAAGGGGCTCTGCTGGCCAGCATCTCTCCATGCCCCCACCATGCTGCTGCAGCAGGAGGCGGCAGGGCCCTTGCTAGGGGCAGCAGCCCCTGTCATAATGTCAGGGAGCATGAGCCACTCCGCAGCAGGGGCACTGCACTGCAGGGCAGGTCAGGGTAGGCAGAGCTGCAGCAGGCTACACAGCAGCACTGGGGTCTGGAGGGGGCCAGAGCCCTCCAAGGCCCAGCAGCACTGCCATGCTCCACAGTAGCTCTGCCCACCCTGCAGTGCAGCCCCCAGCCAGGAATGGGCTCCCAAGGGAGCTGGCTGGTGGTCTCCCCTACCCTGGGGGTCTTCAAGAGGAGGTTGGATGGGCATCTGGCTGGGGTCATCTGAACCCAGCACTCTTTCCTATCTATGCAGGGGGTTGGATTTGATGATCTACTGAGGTCCCTTCCGACTCTAACATCTA